AAAATATAAAGTTATTTTTTAACATCTTTACAATCATCTCTTCTTAAACTAAAGGCCCTATAAAGTTCGGAAAAGCCTTTAGAGCAGTCACGACTAAAACATGAAACGCAAGAGAAGCTTTTTAAAGCTTTCTGTAGATTTCATAAAGGCGAGTGCAGAGTAAAAGCTCTCTGATCGTCACTGCTTCAGAGGCGGGGATTTAAACTAGGATACCGAAAGAAAAGCAGGGTGGAAGAGAAAAAATAAAGGCAGAAGTTCGTGAGCGCGAAGAGCTTGAGATGTTGGAAAGCAGAAATGAGAGTCAAAAGTTCTATCAGTAAATAAGTTACTAATTAAATACTTTTAAGACCAGTCGTAGTAACTAGGTCCTGCAGACATTGATCTGATGACCTCTGGCTAAGATATGTAATTGGAAGTCTTTTCTAAGACAGTTGAAAGACAGTAGATAGGTAAGATGGTTTGAAAGATTTTTTTTTTTCATTCTGGTACGAAAGTCATACAACAAAAGTTCCTTTGCCAAGGTTAATGGTAAAAAGGTCGTTTGACAGAAAGCACTTGTCGCTGCTCCAAAAATGGGCAATAGCCGACTGGGACCGAGGTCGAGCGGAATTTTTCTTTTTTTAATTATATTCTTTTCTTTTTTAATGTATTTTTTTAGTTTTCAGATTTTAAATGTGTTTAAAGTTCATTTAATTTGTAGAACCTTATTAAATTTTTGTCCTTTTTTGTAATCTTCTTTTTTTTCAATATAATTTTCTTTTAATCTTTAGATTCTTTTGTTTTAAGAAGGATAATATATTTTTTAATATAATCAAATTTTTATAAACTTATTTATATATACTATTTATTTTTTTCTTTTTAAATAAACTTTATTATTTTTTTCCCTTTTTTAATGTAATTTATTTCTAATTTTCAGATTTTATTGTTTTAAAAGAAAAATATTTCTTAGTCATTTAATTTTTAGAAACATTTGATTTTTTTCGTTTTTGCAGTTTTCTTTGTTTACATTCGATTTTCTTTCAAAATTTAGATTTGATTGTTTGAAAAAGAAAAATATATATTTCTTAATTCAATTAAACTTTTAGGCAGCGGAATTTTTTTATTTTTTTATTTTATTTATTTTTTTTAAATGCGATATTTTTTCAAAATATTCAGATTTTATTGTTTTAAAAAGAAAAATTATTTTTTAAGTTCATTTAATTTTTAGAAACTTATTTAACTTTTCTTTTTTTGTAATTTTTATTAAATTTTATTTTTTTTTTTAATTTTACATTCTATTGTTTTAAAAAGAAAAATATATATTTTAAATCTAGTTAAATTTTTATGAACATATTTTTGTTTTCCTTTTTAAATAAACTTTTTTTAAATGTATTTATTTATGCTTTTTTAATATAACTTACTTATAATTTTAAAATTTTTTGTTTTAAAAAGAAAAATATTTTTTAAGTTCATTTAATTTTTAGAAACACTTGATTTTTTTCGTTTTTGTAGTTTTCTGTTTTATATTTAATTTTTCATTAGGTTTTAGATTTTATTGTTTAAAGAAGAAAAATTCATATTTTTTTAATTCAAACAAAATTTTTAGGCATAGGGAGTTTTTTTAATTCATTTATTTTTTTAATGTAATTTTCTTTCATTTATCAGATTTTATTATTTTAAAAAGAAAAAAGAAAAATTAATTTAATTTAGTTTAATTTAATTTCTAGAAATTTATTTAATTATTTCTTTTTTGTATTTTTTTTTTATTTAAGATGTTATTATTTTAAGAAGAAAAATATTTTTTTTTAAATCTAGTTGCATTTTTATGAACATATTTGGTTTTTCCCTTTTTATAAAGATTTTTTTAAATGTACTTCTCTTTTAATTTTTGAATGTTAGATATTAAAAAAAAATACTTTTTTAATTATTTGTTTTTTTTTTGTTATTTATGGCCTTTATAATAATTAATTTCAGCAATAAAATTGTTGAATATATATTTTTTTAATTTCATTGAATTTTTAAATTCAATTTCTTTTATTTTTTAATTAAATAAATTTTAGATTGTTAGTTTGTATTGATTTAAAAAGAAAAATATATACATTTTTTATTTACTTAAATAAAAAAAAAAAACTTATTCATTTTGAAGGCTTTCTCGTTAGCAGATTTGTCAGTTAGTCCAAACAAACTGGAGGGTTGAAGCGACTTAACTATTAAACGTGACGAAATGTGGATAAGCCGTAAACGATATTCACAGAGAGTTCTACACCACCTTCGGAGACGCGAAAGACGTTATTGGAGCGCATAACAGCTGACCAGCTTGGTCGGCCGCTGTGGTGTAGTGGTAAGCAGCGCGCGCTTTCATTCATCAGCACCTGGGTTCAAGCCCTGGTCAAAGCAACATCGCAAAAAATATAGAAAAAAGGGATTTTCTTAACAGCGGTCATCACTCGGCAGGCAATGGCAAACCTCCGAGTGAATTTCTGCCATGAAATCAGGTCGGCGTAAAACTGTAGGTCCCTCCGCTTTGTGTGACTACATCAAGGCGCACGCCACAAGTCGAATGAGAAGCTCGGCCAAACACTAACCTATGTGTAAGCGCCAATCTATTATATTATTATTATATTAACAGCTGACCTAATTAACGTCTGGTTAATGCAGGCGTCTGAACCCATATTTATCGAAACGCGACCCCGACGTACACGTCTCTTCACCTGCTCACTCAAACCCGCTCAGCTAACGACCCAATACGTTCATGGAATCAGCAATAATAAAAAAAAAAGAAAATATCAAAAAAATTTGCAGCCAACATCACCACTTACCGATGCTTCTGTATTTCACTGATGCCACCACGCTGATAGCCCAAACGCTCAGCTGGATTATCGCGGCACAGTTTCTTAATTAGGTTGCTGGCGTTGCGTGTAATATCGCGCGGAAATTCGATGGCATCAATACCCTTCAAGATAATGTTGTACGTACGCATTGGATCCGAACCGGTGAATGGTGGCGTGCCTGCAGAAAGTAACAAAAAAAAAAAAAAACAAATATTAAAATCAATTAAAAATACATTTACGCCAAATTCCACTCACCCGTTAGCAGCTCAAACATCAGCACACCCAGCGACCAATAGTCGGCGCTAATATCATGTCCCCGATTCAATATCACCTCAGGCGCTACATACTCTGGCGTACCGCAGAAGGTCCACGTCTTGCGGCCCGATTGTAATTTCTTAGCAAAACCAAAATCCACCAACTTAACATAGCCCTTCTCGTCGAGCAACAGATTTTCCGGCTTCAAATCACGATAGATAATGTTGCGTGAGTGCAGATATTGGAAAGCCTCCACCACGCAGGCGGTGTAGAAGCGTGTGGTGGCATCATCGAATTTACAACGATCGCGTAATATTGTCCACAACTCGCCGCCTAGACAACTTTCCATCAGCATATACAAATATTTGCGATCCTTAAATGTTTTGAACAATTTCACAACGAATTGACAATTCGCCTCGCCCATAATTTCCTTTTCGGACATAATGTGCTGCTGTTGGCGTGTCTCGACAATTTGTGACTTCTTCATTTGTTTCAGCGCAAACGAGCGGCTATTATCACCGTTAATTTGCACCAGTTCGACACGACCGAAACCACCAACACCAAGTGTGGCGATGATACGCAAGTCGGTCAGTTTCACATTATCGAATTCCTCATTAATTCTACGCAAGTAAGTGAGAGAAAAAGAGTGCAAAATTAGTAGCAAAAAAAATAAATCAGAGGCAAATGCATGTTGGCGGCACTGCATGAATTAGCGCAGCGGATTAGCGCAATGTTGCACTTTCGTCGACTTACTTTTTACGCTCTACTATGCATTCATCATCGTAACGATGCTTAATTTCATCTAAATTCGAAATGAGTTGGTTGAACGTCTCTCGATCGATCACCAGGCAAGTAACGCCATCGGCTGAATCACATATAATATTTGCTGTACGCAAGTCATCGCTGTGCGAAAAACGAAAAAGAGAATGATTAAAAAAAAAACGCATAATTTTGAAATTAGTTGTTATGTATTGCAGCAATTTTCATAAATATTTGCCATAATTTTGTTGGCTGTCGTATGTACTCGCACTCACCCCTGCAACGCCTTCTCACCGAAGAAATCACCCTTGATGAGCGTACGTATGAATTTCTCCTCTTGCGTGTCGGGCTGTTTGATCGTCACACGCACTTGTCCCTTCGATATGATAAAGAAGGTATCACCGCGTGCGCCTTGACGCACAATATAATCACCCATTTGGTAGTGGGTCTCTTCGAGCACATCTGAAATTTTGATGAGTGTATCCTCGGGGAGGTTCTTGAAGATGGGAACGCTGGAAATTTAAAGTGAAAATGGAAGTTAATTGAAGATATAATAATAAAAATTAGTTTATAATAAAAACAACACCGCTTTTACAGCTAACTAAAAATTTGTGTTTTGGAAATCTTTAGTTAAATGCTGAAAGTGTGTTAACTAATAATAATAACACTGNCGTATCCTCGGGGAGGTTCTTGAAGATGGGAACACTGGAAATTTAAAGTGAAAATGCAAGTTTATTGAAGATATAATAATAAAAATTAGTTTATAATAAAAACAACACCGCTTTTACAGCTAACTAAAAATTTGTGTCTTGAAAATCTTTAGTTAAATGCTGAAAGTGTGTTAACTAATAATAATAACACTGGTTTATAGCAAAAATGTTCAGTGGATGTCACTATCCAATTCCTATATGTAGTATAGAATTGCCCGCTGATTCTGAAAATCGGCTTAATTTTTTATTCTATGGATAAGTTTTCGAGATATTTTAAATTTACCGTCATTCAGCTTAAAACAAAAAAAAAGTTCCACTTAATTACGAACATCGTACGAACTAACATTAAACAATCGTACATAAACTGCATATACAGTGACTCAAACAAATGACCACGTGTTGATTTTCTTCAAATATTCGTAATGTTTTTCGCGCAAAATTTTTTTGTTTGTTTTTTTTTTTTTTTTATATAAAGATATCTTCTAANAAAGTTCCACTTAATCACGAACATCGTACGAACTAACATTAAACAATCGTACATAAACCGCATATACAGTGACTCACACAAACGATCACGTATGTTGATTTTCTTCAAATATTCGTAATATTTTTCGCGCAAAATTTTTTTGTTTGTTTTTTTTTTTTTTATATAAAGATATCTTCTAAGCTTTAACCAGAACCGTGTAAATCATAGTTTCAAACTTTATACAAAATTTTGGTAAATTCAACAAATTTCCATCAAAATTTCAACTTTTTATTCTGAGTTTCTAGAAAATTTTTGGGTATGAAAATTTAGTCTAAGGAAGTGCAAGTTTCAAACGGCTAAAACATCGCGTTGATTTTGAGATTTCTTTTTTGGTGACGGATTTTTGAACTTTTTTCATATAAGTATGAATTTCTTATGAAATAAAACGCGGGAGACCGTCAGCAACAAAATTTCAAAATATCAACGCAAGTTTTTGTAAAATACGCTTATTTTATTAAAAAAACCTGAAAAAGTAGCCTAAAAAAATTCAAAATCAACGCGACTTTTTAGCCGTTTGACTAAAATTGTATGGGCTATAAAACTGCATACGCAAAAATTTTGCAAAAATTCACAATAAAAAGTTGAAATTTTGATACAAATTTGTTGAAATTTTGATGAATTTTGTTGAATTTTCCTAAATTTTGTATAGAGTTTGAAACTGTGATTTACACGGTATTGGTTAAAGCTTAGACGATATTTTTATATAAATAAAAATAACAAAAAAAAAAAATTATCTCGAAAGACATTCCGAATATTTGAAGAAAATCAACACGTGGTCATTTGTTTGAGTCACTGTACATCACTTTCCAGTAGGACTGTTTCTGAGATGTTAATTAATAATTTCAGATTTTTTAATGAATAAAAAAAAATGATTCTTTAACTGGTGAAAGATTTAAAAAATAACAGTTTCTGTGTAAATTTTTGTTATCTTAATCTAGTACCTTGATGAACAAAATCGATGGATAAATAAAAAAAGAATTAGTGGCGAAAAAAATGCGCAAGACATTTTTGTATGAAAAATGAGCAGGAAAGAGTGTACATAGTGTACGAGTAATATTCTTTCCTGCTTATTTTTCGCACAAAAATTTCTTGCGCATTTTCATTTGACCACCCATTACCTCCTTATTTATCCATCGATTTTCTTCATTAGTAGCTTAATTTTTTTCTAATAGAACAGGCTTTAACAAAAGTGCAAAAAATTGACAATCTGTTCTTTTTAAAAATTTTCTCCTGTTAAAACTTTATTTTCTTTCATTTTTCATCAGAAATACAAAATATATGGAATGGCTAATTCATTGTCCGATCAGAATGTGATGTCAGCTTTCATTTGCCGCATTTCATATTACGATGCCTGTGAACTGCGTGAGAACCGGCTCTCACGTTTCTCCTAGGGATTTTAGGCCTATCAGTCTGTCTTCGTTTTTGCTAAAACCGCTAGAGAGATAGATAGACCTGTACATAATATTGCAAGGTCGGTGGAAACCACCCACCACATTGCTAAAGTGTTCAGAGGAAGCCTTCACGCTGTAGGGACCTTCCTAGATATCGAGGAGGCCTTCAACAATGTCACTCCAGAGGAAATAGTCTATTCATTATCTGGGTGTTGAAACCAACCTAATAAGGCATATCTACAGCTTACTTTGTAACAGAACTGAGCGCCTGCACTCAGCGCAGATACAATAGGGGCACACCGCAAGGTGGTGTTCTCCCTCCCCTGCTCTGGATTGTGGTTGTAAATGACGTTCTAGAGGAACTGGAAAAAGTAGTATGTCGGGTGATCGCCTATGTAGATGATGTGGGTCTTTTGGTCAAGAGACGATTTCTATACACCCCTTTTTCTGCCTCAAGGTTATCTGCAGCAGGTAAATAGTTGGGCGATCAACGGTGGCCTCGACCTTAATCCCAGCAAAACGGAACTGGTCTTGTCTACCACGAAGTACAATATACCCGTTCTGGTTAATTAGTTAGGCTTGATTCTGGATAGGAAGCTGTAGTGGAAACCTAACATTGAGGAAAGGGTAAAAAGGCGCCGGTTGTCTTGTACTGCTGTAGGGGAGCTAACGGTAAAAGGTAAGGTTCCTCGCCCAAAATAATTCATTAGCTCTATGGAACCAGATTTAAGCTTATCTTGTTTAACGGAGCCCTTGTCTGGTGGAACCCGCTACACTTTTAAAACAGGAATTAGTGGAGCCTTAGGAACCACACCTATACTGGCGCTTAACGTCATGTTGAACACGGCGCCTGAGGATATTGCAATACAGAATTGTAGCAGCACGAGCTGCTATTAGGCTATAGGAAATCGGTTGGTAAAACTCTGGAGTTCTGGGCTTTGACTTTGCCGTGAACACATAGATTAAAGCGCCTCCGAAATGCCTCCCAGAAGCTCCTTCTCTACCTACATATATTCCCATAAGAGAGGACTGGCTTCGGCGGGGTTACTAAGGCTTCCGGATTTCTGCAGTGTCTTTCAGGTGGAAATAGCTACCACCAAGGAAGCAGTAGACTCACTGACAAAGGGTGTGATGGTGCGTTAGAAATCGGTAAAGGAATATCTGACTTCTTTATCCATCGCGTCAGAGTACTTCTTAGGTACTTCGACTAGTTTAGGTTCAGGGTCACAGTGATATCGCGGTAAACTGCGTGGCTGATGACCTGGCGTAGGAAAGGCACCCTTAAAACGTTATCCCCAGATAAGGAGCAACTAGGGACGCCTCTGTCCTCCTGCGGTACACTCTTGGATGATTGGGCCTAGTGTGAGCTTGGCGAGCGCAAGACTAACACGCATACGCGATAAAGAAATTGCGTACTCTGGTAAATACCTAATAAAATGGATAAAAGAAAGCAATGCTCCTTTTGTGACATAAAAGCGGAAAAGAAGACTGGAGCAAACGTTTTTATAAAACACTTGTTGGGCAGTATCGATACCAAAAGTACTCAGAACTCGATTGATAAAAGGATCGACAGAACCCGATTTTTAAAAGTATCGATACTGAGTACTCCAAAGTACTCAGTACTCACAAAAGAGCTCGAAAGTACTCAGAACTTGAAAGAACTCGAAAGTACTTGGTACTTGAAAATATTCTATTCCAATCATCACTTTGATGCATGCACTCAGGGTCGGTTCAAAGTACTCAGTATTAAGTGACGAATAGATACTTAAAAGTACTGAGTTTTATTTATATTTACTGGTATTCAGAAATGATTGCACTCAATATGAAGTTCATATATGTAGCTTTCAAGTTCAATATTTGTGCCCAGTAAAGTTAGCCATTCATTTGACGCAATTTTGGATTAATATTTTAATCTGAATAAACTGCTGAGATTTCTACACTAAGCATTGAAATGTTACCAACACGTGTACATATAAGTATTTAAAAAAAGGACTCAGTACTCTCAAAAATACCCGATTATTAAAAGTATCGATACTAAAGAACTCGTTCCTCAAAAGTACTCGATCCTTCCCAACACTACTAAATATATACTATGTATGTGTGTAGGAAAATAACTACTCGTTCATTGCAAATTTTTCTATGTGGAATTTATTCTAGGACGCTTCACTTTTTTTCGAGCGTAAGGACTAAACGTACTCAGTTTTTAATAAAAAAAAACTTCTTTTCATACATATTAGCTCCGGTGGTGCAAAGAAATAAAATCTATATAAATGTATTAAAACATTAAAACAAAACTACATGTGGACTAAGTACAACTATTTTGAATTAACTTATAATTATATTTTTACGACTTTTTGNTATTAAAAAAACTACATGTGGACAAAGTACAACTATTTTGAATTAACTTATAATTATATTTTTACGACTTTTTGCATCAAAGCGCACAGTCAGCGACAAAGAGCTTACATACACTTTTGGGTTTATGCTATAAAAATACATATATGTGTTTTCCATTATCTATTAACTTTTTTAATTAAATATGTAATTAAAACCTAAAAAATTGTAATATTGCCATAACTGCATTTATGCATGTATGTATGTACTCGTAGATATTAATTTTACAACTTAATTTCACTAATTTCGTTAGTTGCAGGTAATTGGTTTTTTTAACTACTTTTTTTTTTATAAGTTATGGTTCATTTGATTGCTGCTGCGGTCTGATCGCCTCGAGTTGGACAAGTTTAATGCACCTAATTTCCTGCACCGGTAGGTACCAGAGAAGTAAATCCATATGAAGGCATATTTAAGTACCAAAAACTGGCTCGAAGCTAGATATGAGCCTGCTGAACTTGTGCACAGCGTGTGGCGCGCGGTGGCTTCACTGA